CGAAGTATAGTGAATGCTTCGGTTTGCCTCCGATTATTCCAATACAACACTCCAGCTTCAGGATGTTCTGTAAATGAAGACAGGTGTTTTCAATATGAGTCAAAATATATGAAGAAGAACATAAGTTTTGCAACAGGATTCAGTGGGAAATATTATTGCAGTAAGCACTGAGGAATCAAAGGTGTGAAAGCAGAATATTCAGACCTTGACACATTCAATGTAGGACGGGTTGAGGACTTCCCCCCCGAGCCGTACAGGCACCAGAATGAGGACAGACTTCCAGGCCTGGCTGGATGGGTCAGGCGGGGTCTGGCTCAGCGACAGGTCACACAAATGCACCACATCCTCTTTGTACACTGCAATGCATGGGAACATAATGATAAATAATATGAAGAAGACTTCTTTGAGGTATTGCCAAAAGAATACATGTTGGGGCAAGGTTATAAACAAACTGATAACTCTGAACTGGAGAGGAGTTATTATGAAATTCAACAGATATCCGGTCTGTTTTTCTCACCTGTACAATCCTGAGCCACGTATACAGCCAGGTTGTGGAGCACAGAGGTTTTGGCTACTGCTTTCCTGAAATTAAATCAATTCATAACGCCAATCAATGTTTATGCATGACAGCTATCTAAATCATTTTCGAAAATAGTAAAACCTAGGTTGTAAAAACACATGCCTATTCTAACGCCCTTACCGTAGTATGTGAGCCACGATAGAGGGGCCGTACCAGTCTCCAGCCTTCTTCCCTGAACTTTTACCGATGTCCACCAGCTGGTGAAGCCCGAAAGGTGCAGCCGGCTGATCCCCGAACCAGGAGACCAGCTTGTGGTGGAGGGTCTCTGCCTGACTGTCCCTTCTATACTCAGGTCTCTTCTTCTGGCTGCACTTTGGTACCTGATCACTCGCCACAGACTTTTCAGGCGTGTTGGATCCTCGTGGAGAGCCAAAGGAGGGGATGGGGAGCCCTCCTGCCCGGGCTGGGGAGCGCGGTCTGAACACCTCAAAGTCCACTTCAGTGAGCTGCTGAGCGTCTGGCCAAGCCCAGTCTACAGAACACAAAGAGGCTTTTAGTCAGGAACCAAGGAAATCCAGGCTAAGAGGGCTTTAATAATCAGAGAGTAAACATATTTTGAATGCCATACTACAATGGACACAATGAAAATGTTTTATAAAAAGACAGAATGAGATGGAGTAGAGGAGAAAAGTACAGTGCAGGGGGCCTTGAGACAGACAAATATGTTCTGCAATAAAATAAACTGAAACAAATACAACTTTCTGCAGAGATAATGTTATATGTGTCACAAGACACAGAGAGATAACTGTATTGGTTTCACGCAAAGATAAGCAACCCCTTTTAAAAAGGTCCCAATTGGCTTACACTGTAATACAAATGAACCTATAGTGTGTAACTGAGGGCAACCAACCTCTGGGCATCAGATGGACCAGCAGCCCCTGCACCAGCAGCATCTGGCCGCTGCGCAGCATGCAGCCCCAGCCACAGTCTGTGGTCAGGGTGGAGCCGTCCAGCTGAGGGAACTCCCTCCTGTAGGTCAGCCAGATCCTGGAGACAAAGGCCAGACGAAACCGCTCCACCTCATCTGAGAGGAGGGGAAGGGATGAGGACGAGACCAGGGAAAAAGAAAAAACGTTTACAATTAGTTTAAGGATTTGTCTGTATTTTAAAGAAGGCCTGTTGCTTAAATGTTGGATCTGATCTTTCTAATGCCAAAAAAACATGAAGATCTGTGTAATAAAAGTGAGGAAGTATTTTTTTTAAGTCATCTGCTTGGTGTTTTCTGATTTAAACCCAGCAACCGTTCAAAGGAAAAGGGTTTACACTGCTGTGGTTAACCAAAACCCACATGACAACAACACCTGGAGTCTCTCTTTAGAGAACAGCATTGACTGCTAGGCATTTTTAATCTTGAGATTTTAATATACGTTGTGCATTTAGTGCTTACCTTCACTGTTGAGCAGATAGGAGTTTCCCAGGACGAGGACTGGCGAGGTTTTGTTGAATGAAGTTTTAGATTTGACAGTCCAGCCTACAGAAAGAGGAGCATTTAAAAGTAAAGTTGGTGTAATAACAAATAGAAAGCGCTGAATTAGGGTATTTTAGATGTTTCTCATGTTGTTTCCAACATGTTAACCATAAAAAAAACAGATTTGACCAGACTTAATAAATTGTGTATGTATAAATTAAATAGTAAATACGGTATATACACAAGTACATAATACAGAAATCTCAATCTGAAGCCAATGAACATTAGAGCAGCGCCCACACACTTTTCCTCAAAGACTAAGTACAAACCATATTTGACGTTGTTCCACGCTGTCATCAGTTTGGATTTCAGTTTGTCCAACTCGTCCGGCTCTCCGTTGGCCTCTCTGCCGGGCTCTGTGGTCGGGGCCGGCCTGAGACCGAAGCTGCCCTGCCGCTCGAGGGGCTGCTGCCTCCGGCTCTCCACCAGCTCCTCCTGCATCACCCCCCCCACGTACTGTACTGCGCTGGGGGAAACCGAGTTCATGCCGCTGAGCACTCAGAGCTCAAGTCCAACGCTTCTCATTGCAACATAGAACTGAACGGGGAAAGGGAAGGAGGTAATTATTGACTGCTGACAGGAGTTCACATTCTTCACTGCAAACACTCTTTAATCAACAACATTTATTCAATAACATACATTTTCACATTTTTAAATCCAACATATTTCATCTAATATTTTTTGATTTCTGTCTACTGCTTAGAATAAATACTGCATGTCTGGAAGAGGGACCTTCCTCCGTTAATCTTGACGTTTCTCCTTTTTTCTTCACTGTTAAAGTTTATTTTAATTGCAAAGCTCTCTGAAGTCAATTATTAATCTACAAGTTAAGGAATATTATAAATATATGTTACCACTTGTCAAGAATATGATGTCAAACTACCTTTTCAGGGCTATAAATGACATTTCCAACTCAAACCAGATGGTTTTATTAATCTGTAAAAGGGAAACAGCACAACAACCAGTCTGTAAGCCAAATCATCACTTCCTGAAAGATATAAATAACTGCAACGTAGTCGGAGTAAACTTCCCAACACACAAAGGAAAACACCCGTGACTTGTCCACCCTGCCCAGAAACTGATGAGTAGTAGATTCAACAGGGAACAGAAGCACGGTGTGGATTGCACTAAAGGGAACATTTATGTGAAGAAAAGCCATGTGATCAGCATTTGACAACAGGCATGTAAGGGCTTTTTCAGCGGCTGTGAAAGTCATATGACTGTGGTGGCTGTCATCATTCCTCACAGCAGATCAAACACTTAATGCAAATACTCACTACACTTGTCATGTGAGCGTGGTGACCCTTAACTATAAGGCAACAAACTTATTTGTGATTAACATCCTCACATATATTCCCATGCATTTGTTTGGTCCTTGACATCAATGCAATAAAGTCAACAAAACATGTTTTAACTCGACATCCATGACCAATTATAAACTGACAGCCGTACTGTTACACCTCCTTTAAACACAGCTAATTCAACTACATTAAAGATTCACTAGCTAACAACTACATACCTGCTGTAGAAACCAGTTAAGAAGGTCAAAACTTTGGAGTATATTGACTCATTCCAGCAATGTCCTTAGTCTTCCTCCACGAAAGCAGTCTTCAAAAATAAATTAAATGTACTAGCTTGCTAAAGCTAAGCTAAAGGTTAGCATTGTTGACGCTAGTCCCCGGCGCTAGCTACCTAGCATTCAGACCGGACAGAGCGATGATATTGACTTTTCAACAAAACGCAGTTGGTGTCAGTTTGTTGGGCATTCTTAAATCCAACCAAGAAGCTAAGTTGTACAAGCTATGGTGAAAATAATCCAGTATATAGTGGCGTTTGCTCCCCTGACGAACAACCGCTTTAGCGACCCCCTTTTGACAGCAAGAGCAGAGGACGTTTACTTCCTGTTGTCCTTTTCCTGCTTCAACGCCATTGGTTGAGAAAGCAAGTAAAATACAGTCTACGGATAATAATCGAATAAAGGACATTAGCAGTGTGTTATTTACTCGAGTTATATCATATCTAACCCATCACCAGTGGTGGAAAAGTACTCAGGTCCTTTACTTAAGTAAAAGTAGAATGTCTATGGTCTTAAAATACTCCATGACAGGTACAAATCCTGAATTGCTACTGAAGTAAAAGTACAAAAGTATTATCAGTTAAATGTTCTTCGTAGGCTATATTGAATGTAACATTTTTTTAAACAATATATTATTCCGTTTTTATCAGTAGCAAACATGTCCAATTATTTTAATGTTGTAGTTTCTCCATTGAGTCAATTTTATATACTTTTACATTTCTGATTTTAATACTGGGTATATTAAATGTACAGTACAGTATATCACATCATTTGTTTTTATATTTCAAAATAACTAGTAACTATAATGATTAAATAAATATAGTAGAGTAAAAATGAAATTACTTGCCTTCATAATGTGGTAGAGTAAAAGTATATAGCATAAAATACATGTACCTCAAAATGTACTGAAGTATAGCACTTGAGTGAATTGACTTAGTTACGTTTCACCACTGCCTATTGGGCTACAAATCAAATGATAGTATTGTCCAAAACAACAATTAGTTTTGCATGTGTATTGTGTATTGTGTATTGTGTATGTGTGTAGTGCATAGCATATCCTGAATTTCCCTATGGGTATCAATAAATAAAATCTTATCTTATTTAAGGTAAATATACTATGACATATGTGATAATAACAGTTGTATTTTTGTTGTACCTTTACAAAACTAATAAAATGGAGAACGGACAATACCAACAGATAAACCTAAATGGAAAACACCAAATCAACTTCATTAGTTCAATCTGCCATGACATGTAAGTTATTTGTGCTGTGAAATTATTTTTGTATTTCTTATTGTCTGTGTGAAGCCTAAAAAGTGTTAAGATAATGTAAGGTTTGTTCAGCATTTGCACAACAGATTCAAGTCACAGAAGGGTTTTGGAACAAATCTCAGAATTTTATTCCACATACTGCACTTCAGGTGTCTGCATTTGAATCACATCTATCACAAACAAAATGCCTCATGGTACAAATAAATACACTTCAGTGAACAGAGAAATGTGGAATGTTTTTTATACTGGACTTTTGTGTTCATTTGTAGAATCCATATATGTATACAGTATATTTTCTTTTTCTTCAAAGTAACTTACAAACAATACCAGCAAATGAAGATTTCCTTTTCAAATAAAGTGCATTTATACTACTATCGCTGTCAATCACAAAAAAAAATCTCAAACATGTAACACTAGCATAGACACCATTGATTGGGAAAAGGCCTGAAAGAGGGCATAATAGCTGTATAAGATTACATTACAGTTAGTTTTCCAATCAGGTGATCAGAGCTGACCTGATGACTCATTTATTACATCAAGATAAAAAAGAACTGCGTCCTATCAGTAGAATATATAAGACAGTATATTATATTAAAAATGTTAATCCCTATTCCGGAAGATACAATTAACAGTCACGCGAAGAACACAACAACAGAAAGGGAATTAATCCATGTTTCAAGTGTCCATTTGATAATAACTGCAAATATTTTGTCATTAAAACAAATGCATAATCAGTAACCCTATGGCTAATAAAGTCCATTCTGCAGTATTTTGGTGGTCTTGGCTTGATTACTAAAAAGAACATTTTATGGAAACATGTTTAATAGTCGATATGTTGTCCACTGGAGGGCAGTAGTGTACAATGCCACACAAAAAGAAATGGTTAGTGCATGGCCGGGACTTTCGATGTCAAAAGATTGGTACAACCTCAAACATTGTTAGATTCAAGAATAAATTGCTAACAGCCTTCTTCTAAATAAAAACTACAAATGTAAAAAGACCAGCCAAATCGACTTCCCACAGAATAGAATAGCTATTAGCCACATCCAGCTCTTTGTTTCAGTTTTTCCAACAAATAAAAAACAAAATTATGAGCAACTGCTCCCAGCATAGCAAAACAGATTGGGAACAAATCTTAGACTTTTCCCTTTTGGACTTAAAAAACAAATTCCAGTCAATTAACTTCTTCCTCTGTGTGAAGTTGCTGTTGTTGGTTGAATCAGTTTACATTTGTAGACCTTCAAATAATCAAAGTTGTTTTAATAAATAACTGTCACAGAGTGAGGTAACAAATCAAAGATGGATTAAATAATCTGACAGATCTACTTCCTTCAGAAAATCAGCTATTAGCAGTTTAGTGACATCAGTCGTCACCACATCTGTAATTGATTTGCATAAGATTATGTACAATGGATGGTTACTGAGAATTAACTACTAAGGATATGAATACAACAGTGGGAGAAGAGCACAAGTTGTTTTTCAGGAGAACATTTTATACTTTTCAGCACTCTTGCTGAGATGATTGATTCACAAATCTTTGTCAGTGTTACAATGTGAGCGTTACATGAATCAATCTTGACTACCTAACACGATACAGTCATTCTGATTATACTGCAGATAAACTTGTTTGATATACAGTACCATGCCCATATCCACTACCCCTACCTTAGCTAAAGAGCCCTTTAACAAACACAATACAGTATGCTACATCCATGACTGCCTGATTTTCCTGTTTTGGCTCAAAACAACATATGGATCCACCCAATATGTGCTTGCAATCCTTTTAATATATCCACATAAGTTATCACTGCGTGGTTTGTAAATAAAGTAGCAGTGAAGCCTGTAACTGTTTACTGGATGGATCTGCTGCCAGTTTTCTTTCAGTTATGATGGCCCTTGCTGAGTGTTATTGCCGCTTAAGAAGACACACATTCTCACACACCTCTTAAGTCACTCACTCGCACACACACTCACGTCCCAATTCAGGGAGCATGGGTTTAAATGCATGACAATTAGCTGCTGACATTGCTGCCTCCTGTGGCAATGTGTGTGTGTGTGTGTGTGTGTGTGTGTGATGTGGTGTGTGTGTGTGTGTGGGTGCGTGTGTGTGTGTGTGTGTGTGTACATGTGTTTGTGTGTCGGCTGCAGTCAGAGGCATGGGGAGAAAAGAGCTGTGGTAGCCCTCCTGCAAAGGGGAGATAAGCGCTGAGCCTGAGCTCTGTCAAACTCGCTTTCCTATGCAGACGGACACAGCCTTCAAGAACCACCAGAAATAGACCCAAGGTGGCTTCATACACACACACACACACACAAACACACAAACACACACATACACACAATCCCATGCGACAGACAGAGCTAGACAGTGCTTGACGTGACATCCAGTGACAGTGGGCCTGCTCTGGATTTGTCTGACCGTGTACAGTAACTCAGTAAACTGCTGGATGAAGAAGAAATGAGCTTTATCATGTTTACCCCGCTGTAGCCAAACTGAGGCAGTGTGTCATTTCTGTAGCTTGATGCAAAATTACAATTTGACTATGACTCAGTTCATCATTGTCCTGTTTGAAAAGCAGTACATTGAAAAAGGGCAGCTTGAAAGACACAAATAGAGTGACTGGATTTGGTATTCACAGTTTTCAGCATGTTTTGATCGGTAAAGCACTTGTTGACCTTCTTGTACCTTTAATAGATGTACAGTACATACCATAGGACATGCATTCACATAGACCCACACACATATACATCTGATAAAGTGTTCCACATTACATTAAGAGTCTTCTTATTAAATACTTTAAAATAGAAAATCAACAGATAATGCACCTTAACAGTAGATTATTTTTCTCCTGGTTTTAAGTTAGAATCAGTCAATGATTGGAATCAATAAATAACATTTTATATAATCTGTCACTGGAATGTACATTGTTTTTAAGTGCTTGACTTCTATTACATTGTTCTTCCAAAAAAAAGGCATATTTATTTTCCTTTTACTCTTTTAAAGTCCCATTTGGTCACATTTTTGACTGGCTGCTACCTTTTGCAGCCCTCTCTAGTGTTGAACCAGCTGGACTCTGGGTGACCACCGAAGCCCCTCGACCTCCTGCAGGAGTGTCAGACTTTCCTGCTGAGCCTCCATGCCTCTCCTCGGCTGCTTTAGTCTGCAGGTCTTTGCTCTTGGACGATTCCTGGGAGCCAAGCTTGATTGGCCCGAGCACATTTTTGGCCACAGTGGTCAGCTGGCTGACGAAGCTCGTCTTTTCACCGGGGGAGACAGGCCTGGACTTACAGAGGGAAGGTCCGCAGAGGGAGGGGGCGACAGAAGTCGGGGAGGGAGAGGGGGAAGGCGAATGCTCCTCCACCACCTCCAGACGACATTTGTCCTCCCAGTCTAGGGTTCCCCGGTAGCAGTTGACCGGCCCAAGCCCCTGCCTTACCTTGCCCAGCGAGAGCGGCGGCCCATGTGGGGGGACGACTGGAGCGAGAACGCGAACTGGGAGTTTGGGGCTTTTGGAGCCAAAGTCTGGAGTCCTTGAGTCAATGCTCTCTGCTCCTGCCTTTCTCAGACTGTCCCCCATACCTGGTGGTTTAAAGGTTTTGTTCATGCTGAGAAAACCTGCTTTTACTGCGTTAATGGAGATTGATTTATCTGGAGTAGAAGCAGAGCTCTTAGTGAAGGCGGGACTAAGCGGACCAGGCCTGTTTCTGTTATCTCCCTCCTGCTTTGGTTCAGTTCTGCCCCATAGCTGCTCCTGGGGCTCTCTACTGTAAGGTGAAAAATGTTTGGCTGCCTGGTAGTCTTGCTGTTTTGAATTCAAGTCTGACGGACTCTGGGGAATTCTTTCAGGTCCCTTATGACCACCTAGACTTCCTGTTGTTTTGGTAGGGGTGCTGGAAGTTGTCGTTTTTGTGGTTTCTGCATTTAGTCTGGAGCTCTGGCCAGCCTGCGGGCTAAAGGACAGATCACTTGTTTGAGGTTTTCTTGTTAACGGTGACTGGGATGATGTTCCTCCAAGCCGACCCAATCTCTCCAGGACTGAATCAGTCGCCCTGTCTTTCTCCCTTTCCCTTTCCCTTCCTCTCTCCCTTTCTTCCCTATCCCTCCCAGCCAGCAGTGTTTCCCTGCTTAGCGGTGACTCCTGTCTCCCTAGTCTCCTTACAGGCTTCAGGACACCCGTCTCTGGACTTGTAGAGGATGAGGGCAGGGGTGGAGGATTCTGAGGCAAATGTTCCCCCTCTGTCTCCAGCAGGCTCTGGAGGCCGAGCTCACAGAGGAAAGCATCCTTACGATACTCAGAGTGCTGCACCTCTAGGCTGTGCTTCCTCAGCGGACCCCCGAGCCCCCCAGAGCTGGACTGGGTCAGAGGCGAGCCCAGCTTCTCTGCTGACTGCACCCGTTTGAGAAGAGGCGATCGGGGGGGTTCAGCACTCTTGGGCCTTGGACGGACCACCGGTGGCGAGGAGTGGAGCTTCACGGGAAAGGACTGGGTGGTGTTGGAGCTCCCCACCGTGTGGCCAGGCAACGGTGGAGGAGAAGACTGGGTAGGAGAGGGGGTGTGGGCGAGAGGGGACAGGGGGATGTTACCTGCAGACTTACAACGGGCAGAGCGATACTGCCGGTGGAGTTTGGGGGAGAGGCCGTGCAGGGAGCTGGGCCTCATGTGCTGAGAGGGAGCGGGGGAGTTTGGGGTGCTGGAGGCTGGAGAGCTGCTCAGGGAGGAGGCACCTACGAGAACACAGAGCAGAAAAGATCAGTTAGTATTACAAATAATCCAAGAGGAAGAGACCCACTGCTGGTTTAAAAGTAACACCATTTCAAGGCTTTAAATAAGCTCACGTTCCTTTCCCTACGATGTGTTTTGGAACTCCCAATTTTTTTAATTTAATGTAATCTTTCTAATTGATCTGAGTTAATTTATCTTTTTGAACTCTTGTATGTGCATTGTTTATTTCCAGTGTCCTACCCAGGTATGAGGACTCAGGGGTGGAGCGGTAGCCCTGCGTCGGGGATCGGGCAGACAAGCTGTGAGTTGGAGAGCCAGGCAGACTCTCACTGGAGGACAGGGAGCGATTCAAACAGGACAGGCTGCGGCTGGTGTGCAGCAGATTGGACTGCTTTGTGATCTTACGGAACAAGGAGCTACGCTTCTTACTGCAGGACAGACAGACAAAGAAAAGAAAGAAGGATTTTAAGTGGGATTGACATAATATCATTTATGTTATACGTTTCACCTTGTGAAATGGGCTTTGCCATTTTTACCATTTCCCAGAGCATATTAAAAATAGTTTTACTTTGCATATTGTGTTTTTATCGAGTTACAACTAAAATCAGGTACCTCTCCTGGCCGTCCTTGCCCATGGTCCTCTTGCTGCGTCGAGCCATCTTACACTTGTAGCTGGCCTTGCGAGCGGGCCCCACTTTAATGGAAGTGTTCTCAAAAGGAGTGGTCGTTACGGTCACCTTGTTTCCACTCTACACAGATAAATAACAATGAATAATATTCTACATTGATCCATTGTAGTATCACAAACTGACCAAGAAAATGTTATCTTTGTTTACAGAATGAATTAGCATGTTTAATGTGGAGTTGGAATAAATACAGTAAAGAGCCACTGAACTTACAAAAATACCCTTTTATTTGAAATTGAAAACAAAGAATAAATACAGAGAAAAATACATATCATCTGAATACGTTGCCTACCTTGAGGATGAGCTCCACCACTTCAGTGTGGACCAGACCGTGGACAGACTCCCCATTGACATGTGTGATGAGGTCACCGGCACACAGGCTAGCTTCCTGTGCGGGGCCGCCCTCCTCCACATGCTGCCGAGTCACACAAAACATTCAAGTTCACAACAGGTCAAAATGATTTACATGCAAACAGTCAGAGTGCAGGACTTGGATCTTAGACAGTGGGTGTTTCTCAATGTCGAGGACGCTTCCTTGGTAGGACATGTCTTCCGAGTCAGGTCCTTCAGAAGCGAGGCAAGAATCCTTCCTAGCCTCGGAAAACGAAGAATGGTGGAACAGGCTAACAGGTGTGCAGGTGTGCGTCATATGCGAGGCCCCGCCTTAAATGGAGCGCGATTTCCGCCAAAGATTTGGGAAATTGGTCCGTGCGCAAAGCATTGTGGGGATTTTAAGACCGCGGAGGGTACACATGTGCAGCCTCGAAATTTCCCGCAACGAAGGACGCCGGCCTCGGTAGAATTCCAAGGATCCTGGACATTGGAACAGTCCTTGGGCGGGACTCGATGACGTAGCATCCTTGAAATAGTGGCTCTGGAGGATCCTTCCTCGACATTGAGAAACACCCAGTATCTTTAAAGACTGGAAAAATGAGTCCTAAAATAATCTTGAAACCTTTCAGTTGAGATCTATGTATGTTTGTGTCAGATTAGAGGAAAGGATTAATTTGAGTCTTTTATAATACAACGTCTACTTTATTTAAAAATGAACTGCAACAGAATGCTAAATCAAAGCATCTACACACACTGTGTTGTAAAAAGCCTTAATTAAATTGGCACAGCTCCTATGCCTTTCCTGTCTTCTCTAGGGCATCTAAAGGCCCGCTAAAGTTCCAAGCCAGTTAAATAAAGGATTAAAATGTTTAACAATACAATGTGCCTTGGAATTTTTGGTAATGACTAATTCATCACAAAGCTAAGTACAGAACAGTTCTCTTTTATGGTCTCATAACATTAAACTGGTCAAATGTTAAGTAAAACGGAAATTATTGCAACGACTGCTAAAATTGAGGTTTTTCAAATTCAGTGATGCCACCAAAACCCTAGACTCAAAAACCATCCCTTTTAAATTCAGAACCCTACATTTAGCTCTAGTACAACTACTACAGTACTAGATTCTTACCCAAACAATATGATGCACGCTGTAGATGTCACTGTCTCCAATGTAGACCCTGATGGCCCTGAGAGTGAAGCCGTACTTCTTCCCAGAGCGCTGGATGGTGATGGGGGAGCGCAGCACGCTGACGGCTGGGCAGAAGTCCCTGCTGGGTGAAGAGTCCCGGGACGAGGGGTTGGAGGAGAAGGAGTGGGGAGACATGGGGCTGGCCAGCGGAGAGAAGCCGCCATGCTGCTCCACTGGAGAGAAAATAACATCCTGTGTAAGTGTCTAAAAAAACGAATCCATTCCATTATGATTCTATTCTAACCTTTCCTTATGTATTGCTCACCTGATGGTATGATGACGGACAGGGCTGTGGCAGAGGCTGACTTTATGACCTTGTTTCCAGCCCTGGAGTTGCGTTTATCTCCCTCCCCAGACAACTGCTGATGGCGCGCCCTGCGGAGGACCAGGTCGTTGGTGGCCCGGGCCCCCAGAGGGTCACACAGAGGAGTCATCACATCACGATCGGCTGCTGCCGGACCTGAGGATAATATGGCTATAGCCGTGCTGACTCCTGGGGTCTCTCCATGTCGAGGGGATTTGTCTGCAAGGATGAAGAGTCAGGTGGAAATTATAGCTTTTTAACATTAAAGTAGCACTTAGAGCTGAAAACAGTAATGCTGTGATTTGTCCAACTGAGTCAGAAGTAGTCATCTAATAAGGTATTACAGGAGGGTTTTTCACTTCCTCCACTCTTAGGCCCCCCCCGTTGTTTTCTCTGACTGCTTTATTCTTTACCATTTATTCTCTTGACTATTTTCTCTCCTATTCTTTCCTCTCCCATTACTGTACCTTTCACTACCTCCGATACTTCTCCCTGCACACACACCTGCTCCGTTGATCTCCTTCAGACTGTTCCTCTGCTCCAGGAGGCTCGGGGAGGGCACGCTGGTCCCATCCAGGGAGGTTCCACGGACCCTGATGGGTGCCTGGCGGGACAGGAAGTCAGGCTCAGTGTCTAGAGGCGAGGCAAAACGATGTGTATCCATCAGTGCTGAGAAGCGCCGGCGAGCACCAAGAGGGGGGCTGGCATCCCCGTCCATGTAGAGGGACTCTGAACAAGACAGGCGCTTCCTGCAAGAGAAGACAGAAACACATGCGTATGAGATGATGCACACAGTGTTCTGCCTGAGAGGGAATAAGAGGCTACAGCCATGACAGCAGCTCAGTAAGACTGTGCTTATACACAGTGGTTCTTTTCAGGGTAATGCTAAAGTCAGCATGCTAACATGCTGATGAGAACCATGTAGCATGCTAACATTTGCTTATTAGCACTAAACAGCATTCAGCCAAAGCTGATGGTCATGTTAGTTTTACATGTATTTGGTCATAAATCAGATTTACATCTTGACCTAATGAAGGCGCTTCATATAAATGAAGGGATGGCCAAAATGATTTGCATTCATCCTTAGGGGGACATGAATGTGTGTACCAAATGTCATCATTAGCCGTCCAATAGTTTTCAAGGGATTTCACTTAAAACACACATTTAATAATGATGGTCCACTAGACTAAGCCATTTATATTGTCAGTTCTATAATTCAGTTTGAAGACAACCCCCACTTGACCAAAGTGCTTTGCGCAGTATTGAACACATATTGACCACAGAAAGGCAGAAAGAATATAATATTTGTTTTTGCCTGGATTTGAAACAATGAATAACTTGGTTGGTTGCCAAAGTCAGCAGAAATACTCTCTTCGTATATTGAATGTCTGTGCATAATGGCATGGCAACTAGAGCTGCAACAATTAGTAGACCAATCAAAGATTCGGTCCACAGAAGAATTATTGTCAAATAGTCTACTAATCGTTTAAGTATTTTATCATGCAAGAATTGCAGAAAAGGCTGTTTTTAGCCTCTTAAATATGGATGTTTCCTTCTTTTCTCTGTTTAATATCATATAAAACTTAATATCTTGGGATATCTGACAAAACAAAGCATTTCAATGTTCTAGATATAAATCACTCTGAACTTTGAGAAAACTGATAGGACACACTGAGTCCGGCAGTGGCTCAGTCAGTAGGGGCTTGGACTGTGAGCCGTAGGGTCGCTGGTTCAAGTTGCCGAACAGACCTAAATATGGAGTGTGGACTGCTACTTGGAGAGGTCCCAGTTCACCTCCTGCCCTGCCGTGATGCCCTTGAGCAAGGCACCGGACATCCCCCTTCCCCCCCACTCCCATTGCTCCCCGGGCGCTGTACAATAGCTGCCCACTGCTCCTAGTACTAGACTCCTGGTACTAGGATGGGTTAAAAGCAGAGAACAAATGTCACTGTGTGCTCTGCATGTGTGACCATTAAAGAGGGGTTCATCCCTCCCCTATTCTATGAGTGAGTAACACACTTAATGTAAAAATACTTTTGTTAGTTAACACAATTAATTAAAGCAATGAATGAATGTAATGAGCTGTAGCCAAAAAGCAATCATAGCCTAGAGATACTAATATTTCGTACTTGATATGGGAAAGTGAAAATCCAATATGTAAGGTAGAAAATGATGAGCCACCTTCACCGTATCACGTTTTCTTACTATTATGAATGCAGAATGTATGCATGAATGATTTTATTTTACATATGAATGCAAAGAGATTAAAGTCCAGCCGTATGCTTCCTGAAGATTGAGGTGAAATAGAATTATGAGAAGTAATAGGAATCCCTTTCTGCCTCTATGCTCTCAATCAGAAATGTGTCCGTCAACAATGCGTGGTGGTCTGGACTCAGCAGATTGTAGTTTTTGTTAGCTGCTCCGAGGCACGACACGCAAAGCAACACAGCAGAATAATGTTCACCAAATACAGAAGTCACTTTTCAATCCAATATAAATATTCTTTATCTGAGTCAGACAGATTTTTACTACATCAATAGACTTATATTTGTAAATTAACTTCACAATGAAAGGTACACATGCAGTCGCATTAAACCTCCTGTATTCAATAGTTATTCTCCTTTTGTGTTTTTAATAATAAAAATAGGCACTAGATTTGAGTGAGGAAATCTGCTACATATTTATCAACCAATTTGAAAAAGTGACATATCAGAGGCATATTGTGTTTCTGTGAGTTGTATCCATCCAGTTTCACCAAACTAGTTTCCCAACTTTGCAGATGTGGGATCTGATGCCTGTTGAGTGTGAGCTCTCGCACAAATATATTTTTATACAAGAAGTGTCAAAATTGGTGTCAGAGAGATAGAAAGCAAAGTTATGCCGGCACACTTGGATATGTGACAGCAATGCTGCAGAAAGAGGAAAAAAACTTCAGGAAACTACCTTCTGAACAAACTCGGTCTTATCTTAAAGGGACAGTCCCCCCCAAAATAATAAAACTAAATGTTTCCTCTGCCGTGCTTTTTATCAATCTGAGATTGCTCTGTTGTGAGTTGAAGAGCCGGAGGATTATCTTTCTAAGAAATAATGACCAAAGTAGTCAAAAATAATCGACAGACCTTGTTTTGAGCAGTTTCATGTAGTATTTGTATCTCTCTACTGAACTACACATGCAAACAAGTTTCATGTCCATGAGTAAATTCTAACTCTAATTCTAAATTGCTCGTACACAGAACTGCTCACAACAAAATCTGTGGATTATCTTGAGAAACCAGGTCAGGATTTCCGAAAAAATACCCGTTTTTCAAATACATTTTTTGGGCGCTTTGAGCAACACAAGGCGAGTACAATCTGATGCTTTTTGTATTGAAGAGCAGACATCTCATACCAAAACAATCTAGAATGATACATAGCACAACAGGTCAGAACATTGATTGATTTTGTGGTGAACTGTCCCCTTTACTATACTGAACACCCCACCTCATTTGCATGCATGCTTCGACGAGCCCTCATTTGATAATGATCTCCACTCACATCTCGGGGGACCCGGTCCTCCAGCTCTTGTCTCTCATGCTGAAGCTGCCCAGGCTCTCTCTCTTGGTGACCTTGTCATCCCGCGGGCCCTTGTGCTCCCGCCTGGACACAGAGGTCGTAGCTTTCTGCTCCAGCTGAGACAGATGCTCCATGCTGCTGTACACCTGCAGGGACACGGACCAATCATCATCTGATCTGTTAAGAGCTCTGGGAAAAGGTAGCTACTGAGTCCGGGTTACAGCTATATTATTGTTTTGCTGCATTTATACATATTTACTGTATTTGTTATTATGTTCTATGTATCAGGCTGACATTAAATATGTAGGGTTATTGTTGTAATGCAATGCTGATATGATAATCTAAGAAGTATCTCGTGCCCTTTAACAAGATATTATTTTGGAAGAAAGGTATTTTCTCAAAAGAGACCGTGAATCAGAAATAAGACACAACCTTACAGACAGAGAGGACATTCATAGAAAGACAAAATCATAAAAGTGAAAAAGTACCAAAGTGATTGCTATAAAAAGTATGCACAAGAGACAGCCCCCACAGACATTATCTAACAATTTCTAAAAGCATGACAAACCTAAAACAGCAGTTGTATAAAGGCTTTTGTGAACTGAAAGGTGAAATCTGTGAGTGCTTTTTGCTTATAAAATGGATAATTTTCGACCATTATCCTTGCAGCTCTACGTTATTAAATGATAATGAATAAAATCCTTGTGTAGTTAACTGTAGACCTATGTAAGTGTATTCAGCCGAGGTCTTTGTTCACATGCTTTGCTTTAAACGAGGCCACTCAACAGCCCTTGACCGTAACTTCAAATACATCTCAAATGTTATTGAAATGAAGTCCCTCAATGAGGCGCTCTCAGTTTTCTGAAGAGCTCCTCCAAGACCTCACGGGTGAAACAACAGAGTGTATGCAAGGTGAGAGACCGAGGGGAGGCAGATGGAAGGAGAGCAAGTGAGAGAGGGAGGGAAGTTGGTAGTGGGAGGGAGTCAAAAAAGGATAAATAGACGGCATGAGGTGAGAAAATCCCATCCGAGAGGGAAAGTGTGACAAGAAGAAAAAACTGGCACACAGAGAGAGAGAGAGAGAGAGAGAGAGAGAGAGAGAGAGAGAGAGAGAGAGAGAGAGAGAGAGAGAGAGAGAGAGAGAGAGAGAGAGAGAAAGAGAGAGAGATTAATAGAGGTACGGCCATGGAAACAGTGGGTAGGGAAAAAGATAAAAGATGTAATTGAACACACATGATACACAGGGTAGAGACAAGGCCTAGAGATACTTACTCAACCTGTCAACTAATCTCCAGTGTCCAGTGACAAAATAACACAAGATGAAACAGCCAAAAAGGAATAAAAACTGAGTAAGAGAGAGATGAAAGAGAAGACAAACCTTGCTGAAGCGAGGAGAACAGGAAGAGAACTGTCTGATCTCCACGGGCTCATCGTCATTGGTGTCATCCTCGTCGTACGTATTGATGTGATGATACCGATCTGAGCGCGCTGGCAGGGGAGAGAGGGAGAGAGATGAATTATATAAGCTGTCAGTTTAACATGAAAAGTGCTTTTCTAACTGGAACAGTGTCAGAAAATGATTGGACACCCCATAGAGCTAATATTGATGTCACTGCTGCACTGACACATACATCCAGAGCAGGGGTCACCAACCTTTTTTAGGGTGAGGGCTACTTTTAAAAAATAAAATAAGTCGGGGGCTACTTTTACTCCTCTTTTCTTTCTTTTTTTGCAGTGTATATATTTAGCACATTTTAACATTATTATATGCTGACCTTTAACCTTTGTGTGCTGTTTGGGTCTGTGGGACCCGTTTTCAGTGTTTACTAAAAGAACATGTATGCAATTTAATTATTTTAACCTGCTTTATTTGGGGGTGGACGGGCCTCACCTCCTCTAGGGGGGTCCACACCTCCTCCAGGGGGGACCTCACCTCCTCTAGGGGGGGTCGGGGGGCATGCACCCCCGGGAAGATTATTTTTAATGTTGAAGTGAAATGCATCAATCTAGTGAATTGATGGATACAGCTCTCAACACTCAGATGAAAGAGAGCTGTATACTTTTCAATAATCCAAACATCTTTAGAATATGATCACCACCAATAACAAATCATTTAAACTTGTTTATTCTTATCTAATGTTACCTAGTTAGCATTCTTTCTTTCTATTTATGCTTATTTTACTAATCACTCCCCTTTCAAACTGTTTTTTTTTTTTTTTTTACTGTCCTATACACATTGGAATGATTTCTTACTTTATCTATATTAAATAGATAAAGGTATGCTCTCCCTATCTCTCTCGCTCGCTCTCTCTCCCTCTCTCCCTGCCTAGCTCTCTCTCTCGCTCGCTCGCTCTCCTCTCCCTCTGTCTCGCTCACTCACAGAGGCTGTGTGCTCCTCCGTGGCGATGACGGCTTGCGTTAAAAAAAAATAATAAACATATTTGTAAAGTGGGGGGGACACAAACGGGATTTCGAAAAGAGCGGGGGACATTTCCCCCCTGTCCCAGGAGGAAATTACGCCATGCGTGTGTGTGCATCAAGTGCAATAAATATATATGCAAGTTGCAACACACACACAGTAAAACTCCGCCCTATGTGGCACCTCCCCGCTGATTTTCCTTCTGGCAGAATCTACACAACACATCAGCCCCATTGAACAGCCTATCATGCCAGCCTATACAACACATGTGGCCCACATTGCTTTTCTTCCAGACTGCAACGCTGGTCCCGCAAATCAAGCAAGAACGTGATTGGTCGATATTCATTGTGGGGGTGGGGGGAGGAGGGGTGTTATATAGAGTTGTAGTAAGTAGATAGAGTTCGCTATGATTTAGGTTTCGTTTATGCATAGGGTAGATTCTTTTAATTACATTTCCTTTTTTGTTTTGTGTATTTTATACATTTTGGATTTGCTTGGCGAGCTATTTTTAGAACATGCCCCGCGGGCGACTCACGTTGCCCCTGCGGGCGACCAAGTGCCCGCAGGCTACCCCTGATCCAGAGGAACCTACTATCAAAGTAGCTGGTGTCCTCCTCTGACTCCAGGTGAGGGATGAACTCTGCTTTCTGTCTCAGCAGGCTGTTCCAGTCCAGCTCGGTGAAGAACCCGTGCTGCTTCACCTCAAACGCTCCGCCTGGTGGCACACACAACACAACTCAAAACACTGTATGGATGGACGGAATATTTAAAGCTGCTTAAAACGTATGTTAAAGGGAACTCATAACGATATAAAAATATAACTAAAACCTGCACTCCCCTCAGCTGTACAGAACAGTTTTGTCACTTTCAGGATATTGATTTGCCCTATTACTGTTTTCCTTCACTCTCAGTGTTCGTATCAGTCTCATTTGGGGCTGTTGATATCATTAAAAAGGCTCTCAAACATGTTGTACACTACCTTCCTATCACTGAACACCAAACAGCCAAAGTTACATATAGCTGGTGAACATAACAAGGAGTTGGTGGACAGTAAAACGACAGCGTGTCAGAGCAAGACATAATGGGGGAAAACGAGTTGTTTTTGTTGAGTACTGGGTAACATAATGTTTTAAAACCTGAATTTTTCTTTGGAATTGTGTTAATTCATGGAAACATGCATTCCTCAAACCAACCAAAAGTGGGTGCAGATCAGAGCTCTTATATCAAGTTAATGCAACAGTTAGTACCTGTACCCAACCTCAGGAGAGGGTTGGTCTGCAACAGGGCAGAGATGAGGTCCTGGGCGTCTGCAGGCAGGGCTTCATCACCATTAGGCCAAACTATATCATCTAACAGAGACAAAAACAACAAAAAACGGTCAGAGTACGAAGCAAGAAAGACATTTTCAACTTGTAATTCATCGGCTTATCTGAGCTATTGGAAACGTGTTCTACATAATTGCATCACACCAAGGGAGAAAGCTATAACATATAAGAAATCGATTCTATTATCTGTAGGAATATTCAAAGTGGAAAGGCTTGACACTGCTCTGACTACATCACTTGCTAGAGATGCTATTAAATAAGAATAGTGACACACACATTGGACCCACTTTCTATAACAAAAGACAGCCAAGAAACCCAGTTCACTCAAAGCATACCGGACTACCTTTGTGTTTTGCTTTTTGATTGCTAAAAGTGAGCAGTTTGAGAGTGTCCTCACAAATAAAATAGTGGACGTTTACCACTGTCCTCTTACCTGTGATGACCTGTCCAAACAGCTCCTCGGGAGTGTCTCCAAAGAAAGGCACGCAGCCCACCAGGAACTCATAGAGGATGATGCCCATAGCCCACCAATCCACCGGCTTCCCGTAGCCCTGACGGAGAATCACCTCGGGAGCGATGTACTCTGGAGTACCACACACCTGAGTGAGGGAGAGGAGGTGCAAACAATGGGAAGACAGAGGAAGAGAAGAAAAGAATGGAAAAAGAAAAAGTACAATAATTGTCGGAGAAGCTTGAAAACCATTATGTGATGTAATCCATTATAAAATGCATTCATCATTTCCCATTTTATGCGAATGTTCTCTAAATATAAAAATATGCTGATTGTCATAATAAATAGAAAGGAGCCATTTGGTGGTTGGTGTGATCCCATCGTAAGATTGTGTCAAGGTTGTCTCTGATATAGAATTTTTACCAAAATGTTATTTAACAGGTTAAACAATTTGAATAAATAAAAACATCTCTATCTTTATTCAAATTCTCCCTCATCAAAAAAAAGGAAACTAATAAATCATTTACTTCAAAAGTTCAACTGCTGAACACAACATTTATATTTTACTTCATTGAAAAAGTTTTTAGGTTAAAGGTGGGGTAGGTAATTTTGGAGAAACCAGCTCGAATGCGCTAGAATTTGAAAATACACAACCGGAAAAAATCTGCCACTTCCTTACAGAGCCCCTCCTCCAACACACACGAGCGCGCACATGACCCATGAGGGCACGAGATAAGTTTGTGCACAGATGGAAGGCTGACAGGCAGGTAGGCCATCCAGTTATTTTAGCCGGGCCGGCTAAAATGATTGGTCGTGCTTTTTACAGTACTACGGCTTCCACAGATGACATTTTTTTATGGATGTTTTGTCAAAGCACTTAAGATATTCATTGCTATCGGGATGTTAAGAGCATTCCATGGAATATAACAAAAAGTGTATCTCGAGCCGGTTTCTCAAACTTACCTACCCCACCTTTAACAATCTAATTAAACTAAAAATAAAACAACTAGATTGTAAGAGGAAATGTGAGTTTATGCAAATGATATGAAAAGTATTTTTCCAATTAACCACAGTGTTTACCTGCCGTCTTACACAACAAAGACATCCTCATTGAGAGAATTAGAAACACTTTCCTGATCAGAATATCCTGAAAAACAGAAAGCTCAGGTCCTTTTCATCCACAGATGTGAGTTGATTACTGGCAGACAAACAGATGCTGCTTCCACCCAGAAGAGCTGACTGATTATGATCAGCTTCATTCAGAGCATAAATAATAACTATAATTGCTAAAAATGGGATTGTGATGGAGATGGGGATCAATAATGGTTCACTAATTCAGACTACACAGGATGCATTGATTGTAATGCAATGTCTTTTTTTGGAGATGATGGATTTTGCCAGATGACTAGGCAGGTTGATACACATGGCTGGAGAAGAATAAAAGATGCTGTGAGTGGCAGTCGCCTGTTCATCCACCAAACATCCCGTCACACACCTCATTCAAACGGTTACTAATGAAATATGTCTTCCTGCATCCTGATTCCACTGTAATAGGTGATAACGTATCTATACTACCTATAGTAGAGGCTGCTACTAGGTTGCAACTGTACCTGCTTATCCAGGAACTCTCTCGCATCTTTTTCAATGTGTCCCTCGTACAGGTTGGTGGTGAGGCTCATTAGACCCATCTTCGACAAGCCGAAGTCCGTAAGTTTGATGTGTCCCATGGAGGTGATCAGTAGACTATTTGGAGAGAGGAAACAGGCATTACATTCTAGTATATTGCAATAAAATCCATATATAATGGAGTGTGTGGTCATGATCACAGGTTGTAATTTATTGTTTTCGTCAGCAGGTCTTGCATAATACACGACCTTGAGTGGAGGTATGGACACATGGGACTGGCGTGCTACAGATGAATACACAGAGAAACTGCACTTTCCGACCGAGAAGGACAACAGAAGTATCTAGATTTAGTTTCTGTCAGCCTCAATTTGCCAAATGAGATGAATCCAAGCTCATTTGGATATATTGTGGCCTGTTATAGTTTTACCCAGAAGGCCGCATTCATTTTCATTAATCCCCTTAACATTATTTGTTTTACCTGCACTACCTGTGTCATTACAGCTACATCACACTTTTGCAATAAATAAAAATGTAACATGTGTAACATTCAAGTCCTTGCCAAACAAATCTGTTAGTATGTTGCTCGCTGTAAAATCATAATAATTAGCTGCAAGATGCTAAAAGGAAACATTGGGTGATCATTTTTTGTGAGTTAATCATTACAAGCAAGCCCTTTCATATCACATGTAGTCATTTGATCTCCTAAAATCTTAATTAGTGCAGCTTTTAACACTCACTTGTCGGGTTTGAGGTCTCTATGGACGATGCCATAGTTGTGCAGGTATTCCAGGGCTAAAACTGTCTCAGCGAAGTACATCCTGGTCAGCTCCACAGGCAGAGCCCCGATGTTCTTCAACAGAGTGGCACAGTCTCCACCTGGAAAACAAAAAAAATACCAGTTGTTAATGTATTCATTTCAGAGTCTGACAGGAAATGGCTTAGCATCCATGTATTATGGCACCCATCCATTACAAAATGTCCTGTTGGATATCTATTTTAGAAGCTGGCAGGAAAGTGGCTAAAACCAGAAAGACCTACAGTTGATAACTGGATTGATATTATTTATCATACAGTATTAAAATTATTACTTTTGCCGATAGATGGCAACAGCTGGAAAGTTGGATTGTGTGCATTATACTGCACTTTTTATTACCAATGAAAATGATTACATAATATGTATGGAACTCGGTAAATAGTGTGAATAATATAAAATTATATTATTCACACACATGATACTGTAGCACAATAAGTCTGCAGGATGACAGAATTTGATCCTTAGATAAGGCCGAAAAGCTTTAAAATATGTGAGACTAAATCATAAACATAGTATTTTTGTGATGCATTTCTGCTTATAAATAGATATAAACATTCTATTTATTATGTTTCTATTCTCTTTGCTTGTTATCCACCTTTGCACAACATTAAGCACGTTTGACAGTGTCAACACACGACTACTTTTCATGCCTCAGTGAGTCAGTGCGCCAACAGATAACATAAGAGCTGCTGCAGCCAGAGCCACGACACCGTCCTGAATCTACTCACCTTGTTTGACTTTCATCATCAAGAGTCATTGTGATACATGTAGTGTCATAAAGAGTCTTTTAAATGTGAGTCCTTGCTCAGTGTAATTAAAGTCTGCAATCAAAACTAGATCTGACCCCCTTACCCTCGACATATTCCATGACCATGCACAGATGTCTCCGCGACTCGAAGGAGCAGAACATGGAGACGACGAACGGGTTCTCGGCGAAGGTGAGGATGTCTCTCTCCACAAACGCCTGCTGGATCTGATTCCTCAGGATCAGATTCTGCTTGTTGATCTTCTTCATTGCAAAACGCTGACGTGTCTCTCTGTGGCGCACCAGGTAGACGGCACTGGAGAGAAGGTGAGACACAAGAGACGAGAGTGAAAACTGAAGGGGCTGGTGGCGCCAAGATGAGGTACAGAGAACAGAAAGCAGGGTGAGGGGCCAAGCCCAAAGAAGCTTGTTTAAGCAATACAAATAGGTTTGACTTTTATGCTCATACTGTTGCTGTTTTAGTAGTATTGGTGTTGATTTATTCCAGTTTCCACTACTGTGGTGCATCTTTTTTTATCAGTAATTTAGAAACACTATTTCCAAGGATTCTATTGACAGGAACTCTCTGACCCCTAAACAGTCTTCCACAGCATATTGATGTTAAAAACAGTTTTTTCTTTGTTAAAATATTAGATGAAAGCTTCATTGCACTTGATATGGTTTAGATCCAATGAGGTTTCAATCAATTTCTTACCCATAAGCTCCGTTGCTGATCAGTTTGATGCTCTGGAAATCTTCTTCACTCGGTGGTTTCATGGTCCGCCCTCTCCCCTGCTGACAAATATTAAAATGATAACTCAAATCAACAAAAAGGCTGTTTCAATTAAATGTTCGAAAGCTCAAATGTCAATGTTTCTTTGATGATTTGAAAGCTGTGTGTGTGTTTGTTTTAATGGTGGTGCAGTCATAGTGTGTGTGAAAATCTTCCTGTGTGTTTGTTCTTAACCTCTGCTTCATCGGTCTCTGGAGTTTGTGGACCCTCACTGTCGTAGCTGTCCAGGCTCACGATTTCTGTTGAAAAACATTTGAGTTAACAAGCAAACCTGGTGTCAAAATGAAATGAAAATGTTCATGTTAAAACACCAGGCCTCCCACACTGCTGTGTGAAGATTAAAACAACGCAGCTGCTCAGACATCTTAAACAAAACAGCTATTCGATCTAAAAAAAAAAAAAATGAAAGACCAAACGCGGCAGATCACAGAAAGTAAAACATGAGAGATAAAAAAGCTTCTTCCTATTAATTCTTTGTCTTCTTCTCCACCTCCACCTCCCCCTCACTTTGTTTCTTCTCCTCTCTTCTTTGAGCAGCACTGGCAGCTAAATGTCAGTGTTCTTCCTCTCTAATATGTGACAGCTGCTAGAATACACTGATAATAGCACTGTTTTGTTAAAGCAGGGAAATAATTGACTAATAATTAACTTTGCAAAGCATTTTCAAAGTCGCTCTGTAGATTCTAACTTCATGTAACATAAAAGTCACTGTTCTGACAGTCGTATATTCAGTTGGTTTCTCTTTGACGCTGAAAAGATCTTGTCAACAGTCTCTATCAGGAGCCGAGAAAAGAAAAGAGTGTGAAAGTGTGCAAGCCGCTACGTGGGTGTCTATGTGTGTCTAAGCATGACGATGTAGGTGTAAAAGAGGGTGCAAGATGAAGATATCAAGTGGCACATTGTAAGCAAAGATTAGCTGACAAAGGCTTCATATTCAGATATAATCCTGCAGAGGTTTATTGTAAAGAGTCATTCTGGATCCATCAGCTAATGAACAACTCCTGATGGATGAGACCAAGAGCGGCTGTGCAGAATTAGAAATGTGAGTTTGAGCCACGATGATTAATTCAAGATATTTCACCGCTCCAGCAGACCACAAATGTTCCAGCCTGTCCTAGCGTGATCTCATACACGGTCATGCTGAACAACCAGCTGATCGGTAGCTTAATTAAAGCAGAGATGTTCAAATTCTGACACTGACAAGAAAACAATTGTCTTTTTCTTCATCGACTGTAAACGTAATCTTCGGATAGAACTCTTTGAAAACAGTCGATAAATGTATCTCCCAAAATGTTGAACTGTTCTTTTGTTTATGTGTAATTTGTATCAATTCAATGCGGGGCCGCTGTTCATTTCCCAGTCTATTAATTCCACAAAGAACCAGCCAATGTCTGAATTAAAATCTGTACACATTGTAGTCAGTGTACATACATTATTTCCTGTTCAAGCCTCAATTTGAACAACAAAATGCAAAATACATTTTCTTTCTTTCTCTTACCCTCCAGTGGGTCTCTGGTCAGCCCCAACTGGTTGATGATGTATCGAGGGATGTCCGCCTTCATCAGCTGTCCCTCCTTGGCGTGGTCCTCCGCTGCCTCCAGCAGATGGTAAAACTCTTCAGGGTTGAACTCCTATCATTGAAAGGGGGAACAAATGTAAGTACCAAAAGAACAATATACTGTAAATGCACCTTTAAGCTTAAACTCCTGAAGCTCTACTTTCAAAATCTACAGGAGGTAACGGGATGAATAATCACCTGTGAACACCAGATGAATGCCACTTGAAAATCAACACTTGTTACTCCTGAAGTGTTTGATGCGTGGGATATTGTTTTCTAATCTTAGACATTTCAAAAACGATTGCACAGCTGAGTAAGACTTGACGATTACTAATCACGAGATTAAACGTTAATGATATTCTACCCACAGTCATTATGGTTTCATGGTACAGGTGATATTGTGAGTCAACTGTCTTATATATATATCATGGAAAAGAGTCAAAATGGCAAAACATATCAAGGGCTGCAAGTGCGATGATTCCTTTCACAGTTTCAAAGACTTGCATTGCGTCTTGATCTGACCAGCAGTAAACACAAAAACAAAGATTTTCAATTTACTATCATAGACGGAAAAAAGAAACAGCAAAATGTTACATTTGAAAAAGCTGGAACCAGAAGATTTCTACATATTTGCTTTAAAAATTGTGATTTATGTTGATTTGCATAATGCCATGCTTTGTTAGAATTGAAAAATAAACATATTTCCAAGGGATCCATATCAAGATTGATTATGTAATGCGTTTAGAGACCCTTGCTTATATATTGTTATCTGATCTTTTTATACTCAAAAATCAAGTATCTGCCATGTTATGATTGCTGCAATTATGTTTAAAAAAACAGAGATGAGAATGTACCACAGCATATCACAATATTGATCATTTGTTATAGCTGGGTATTGAACAATGAAGATGAACACAGCAGAACAAATTTGATAAATAAATTGATGTAAAATGGTGTTACATCACAGAAATGTATTTTAATAATTTCAGGTCTGCCAAACGTATAATCACAAAACTAGAATTAACTTCAACCTGCTGAAAATTCATGACCAAACACCGCTGTGGGGCTGTCAAACAAACACAATCAGTGTCAATACACCTCCCAACTTTAAATTGCTTTCTTGAAACATCCTTTTATTCCAATGAAACAGCCTTTTGTGGTGTCCTGTGGGATTTACTTTCATTCCTGTTGGTGGAATAACATTTTGATTAGAAAGTAGAGCCTGGGGCAGCCGGGATCATTTCCTTTCTCCCGTGCTCTCTCATATCTGCTCCCCTCAACCGGAGGAAAAGAGAGAGCACCGTAAGGGGGCATTAACCTGCCTCTCTGATAGCTTTCTCTGCTCCGGGATAATATCCTTGCAGCTAAAAGCCGACTGACTGTGTGACATTTTCACCAAATCACAACTGCTGCTGACTTGAATGCTAAGTGAACTCTCTGCCGCTGGACAACCTTGTTTCTGTGTATGTGTCTCCTCCTCTCTAACCTAAGGGGCGTGAGGATATAAAATCCTCTCCACATCCTGCCTGACCCTATCGACCTCCTTTGACGGTCGCCCTGGCAACGGAAAGATGAGCCTGGGGGGGTGGTTGAAGGAGGGACGCTGCCGAAGACGAGCATGTGAGGCCATCAATCAGTGAGCTGATGTCCAGGTATGGCTGAGCCTCCTGTGCATACAGAGAGGCTTGTTATTACTGAGTAAGTTGAGCTGAGTTATGTATCAACATGTCAAGGACACGGCTCTGTCTCCCAGCTGATTTGATGCGCTGCTGAAAAAAGAAATCGACAAGATGTGGAGGTGGAGAGAATATTTTACAGTTTGGAGTTAAGTTGGAAGAATATCCTGCGGCAATAAGTGCAAATGCTGCAGACATGTGTAGCATGTCTGTACTGCACAGGCATATATTCAGATATATTGAGAATGCACCGACAGGAAGCAAATGTAAATTTGGCAATAATTTCTTTATAATTTCTTTATGCTAGGGGACGTAGTAACAACACGAGTGCACGGCAGTGGCTCAGTCAGTAGGGGCTTGGACTGGGAGCCGTAGGGTCGCTGGTTCAAGTCCCCGACCAGACCTAAATATGGAGTGTGGACTTCTACTTGGAGAGGTCCCAGTTCACCTCCTGCCCTGCCGTGGTGCCCTTGAGCAAGGCACCGGACACCCCCCTTCCCCCCCCACTCCCATTGCTCCCCGGGCGCTGTACAATAGCTGCCCACTGCTCCTAGTACTAGACTCCTTGTACTAGGATGGGTTAAAAGCAGAGGCCAAATTTCACTGTGTGTGCTGTGTGCTCTGCATGTGTGACCATTAAAGAGGGTTTCATCCCTCCCTATTCAAATTCATTCAAACAATAGGTCAAAAGAAGAGTTTTGTCTCTGCATATTTGGTTGTGATGCAGCCATGTTGATTATTTAATGATATCAAGTCTTCTCCATTGAATGTTGCATTAATCTGATAGCTATCCTCTTTTGTGATATTTGGAAATGATGTAACTAAAAAGAGTTGTTTTGTTTCGCAGTTTATTTTTACATTTCTAAGAAGTCGGGGCCTCATTAAAAACAAAAGATCAAGTCAAAGAGATTTCCTGACTTTACGTCCCTACTGTATGTATCAAAATACAAATGATGGAACCTATCTTCTCATAAACCAACTCCAAAGCATTTTTATTATCAACCCTCCCTGTTTTCTAAATGAACACACTTATTACATAATGTACTGGGTGGATACTATATGTCAGGAAGAAACCATCCATCTCTGTGGGGGGGTATAATAATATTCTCAATTTTATCTACATTCCTTGTATGGATTTTTATATATATCCCCTGTGCCCAAGATTGGAAGAAAAAAAAGAAAAACAGTCTTTTTATTTGTCAAAAGTAAAAGAAATGCAATGTGAAATACTTCTGTAAGCCTTGAAGACAGACTCCCTTTTAAAGTGACAGGCCAGCCTCCAGCTGTGATATGTGTTTCATCTCTTCAGACGTTTCAGACTGGATGCAGAGCTGACAGCCTGCTCCACGTCTGCTCACTCTTTAATGGCATTTCAGTGAGAAGGAATTGACCATGCATCTCCATTTGGGAGGACAGGAGCCTTTCCGAGCAGTTAAGCAGAACATATTCAGGATGTAAAAAGGCCCTCGGAAAAACTGATACTCATACTTAACATCAGAAACTCACCAAACACTCGAGGAGCCTGGCGGGACGAGATATGATGATGAACAACTTTTTGCAGAGCTCGATGATGAAGGTGAGCTCCGAACTCTCCGAGCGCTCATAAGCCTGATAGTGAAGGAGAGACAGGCACCCAGGAGACAGGTTAGAGATTGACATACTGTACCGTTAGTTGACACTCCTCAACACCTCCACAATTCCTGTCCCAACTCACATCATTCAGCAGCTTCTCCAGGTTATCCTGCAGCTCACAGAAGTAGACGCTGGTGATGAGACCCTCGCGAGATTTGGTCAGGCAGTCCCTGGACAGCTCAGCTACCTGGTGGTGGATGAAGCTGAGGACCCCATCGGCCAGGGGCAGGACGCTCTCTGGAGAGAAGCTGTGGATGAACTCCGTCAGCCTCTCCTCCATCTGAGCTGTGGCCTGAATGAATACAAGATGGCGCTTAAAGTTTTTTAAATAAAAAGCACACAAACGTGAGTAAGCTTCCGACCAACTGATGAGAGTATAACAATATTGATATGCTTGCAGTATTATGGGTGTCTGTGTTGTCATTTACTGCTTCTGTGGCTTTACATTAAAAGCATTTAAACCGGCGAAAGATACATTCACTATTATTGTGAAGTAATGTTAATCACGGGATAGGCACTATGTTTGTCAGTGAGCTTTGTTCATCAATAAGGCTTCCACAATAAGGCTTCTTCTTCAGTTCGAAATATTGCAGCGAGAAATGGAAGAGTCCGAAGAGCTGCAGGCAGCAGATCACACACGAAACATTTTTAAATAGGCCAATTATTGTCTGACTTCTTTATTAAAATTACAATAGTTAGTTTTGCTGTACCCAGTATTCCGAGACATGTATTCATAAATTGTATTTCCTTTTACTGTTAAAGAGGGTGGATTGCCACCTAAATAGTAAGTTATTATCATGTTGTCAGGCTTCCCCTATGTTACATCACCACTACCCACTACCTGTCATCGCTCTAAATGGGACATACACAAAGATTACACCTCTTTTATAATGTTGAAAAGCAAAAGACAAATACTCTTATTGATTTTTTTTGGAAAGAACATGAGGCAGTCTACATTATCTGTAACTGATGAAACACAAAATAACACTATCAGAATTAATAATTGCTAATGTGCGTGCGTGCGTGCGTGCGTGCGTGCGTGCGTGCGTGCGTGCGTGCGTGCGTGCGTGCGTGCGTGCGTGCGTGCGTGCGTGCGTGCGTGCAGCTTTAGATCATCTTCCAGTTTTAATACATATTGGCCTGGGGCAAGTTACGTGATCTAATTGATTTTGTACTCATGATCAAAGACTCATAGGTCGGGTTTAGCTCCGCAGACATGGACGACCTCCAGTGGTTTTCACACACTGCAGTGTCAACAGCTTACAAAGAACAGTGAAATAAAATCTGAGAGCTGCCTTTATTTTGGAGGTCAGAGGAGAACGGTAAGCCTCTTTCAAAGTAACAAGGGCGCAGGAATGCAGAGATAACAGCTAAGTACAGCTGGAGGATGCATTAGTGTGAGAGAGACAGGAAACATTTGAAAAAAGCAACAAAGGTCCCGCTGCCACAAGTCAAACGTGGAGATGCTGTTATGTGTCATGCACCCTGACATTGAGGCCCCTGGGGCTACCGTTACTCTGACTCGTGTAGTGCATGCTGGGATCATATTTTACATCACTGAAGACCACTCTTACCAATACTGATCTGCTCATTGTGTAAGTAAAATCATTTTGTGAATGATTGGCTTTGCTCTCAGACAACATGTGGATACTACCCTAGCTATGGGCTTTAGACAATTAGAAAATGTCAAGGAAAAGATGGCGGCGTGCATTTCACACACATCTTGAATCCCGGACCGAGTACAGGGGACGTCGGCCAAGATCAGTGGCGGCGCCAGGGTATGGCTGGGGTAGGCTACAGCCATACCAAGAAATGGCTTAGCCCCACCATAGCCCCACCATGAAAAGTGATGCAAATTCAATTAAATAATAAGCGAAATGCTAAATGTTGAGAACACGGATTGCGAAAATATACGGGTCGTGTCCACAGCACACAAACTGATCCTGCTGTAACAACAAGTGCACATTACTGATGCAATATGGTTGAGACCATTCGGGCTTATGCTATAAGAGGGGTGCAAGGAATAGTCTAAGTAGTGGGGGAGTTTTATACACTAAAGGTGTGGAAATTCTCTGGCGTTAAAATATCAGCGCGGCCGCGGTCAGATCAAAATGCCTCCGAATGCAATTTGAATAGACCTACAGCCAATCAGAGCAACGAAACGTTGGATCTGCGTCATGCCTTATTGATTGAGATCAATCGAAACCGCCATTCAGTATCCCCATTGGATCTTCAACGTGTACTATCATACGTCACGTTCACAGTGATCCCTTTTTATTTACTACAAGACAAATGTGCCGTTTTATTTCATACAGTTCAATTTTGATTGAGACAGGGAAATAATCTAAACCTCACGCGTGGCGTTTCACTGTCAAGGGGGGTAATATAGCGTGTATGTAATTACATTGCAAATACTGACTTGAGCACCACCACTGTATGGGTTAGCCCTACCATAGATTACCCAACAAAAATGCTCTGGCGCCGCCACTGGCCAAGATCGACATCATCCAGTTCTCTCATGCAGAATGTGCATCGCCATACTTGTTAGGACGATATTTCACCGGGGTAAGATTGACCAACTTACGGCCATCTGTTAACCACTAAAGGAGCAGCCTTTCTGATCTTTATGTTTCCCACTGTTACACACCCTACATACTGAAGCTTCCTGTAAAGGCCAACATCTGTTTCATGTCCCAGATGTTAACTTCAAAGCCAAGACAGTGTCGGCATTCATCTACTTCCCAGCTAAAAACCTATTTTTATTCTAGCAAGCCCTGTCTGATCTACTGCCCGCCTGGCACCCTCCTTGGTTCTACAGAATTATTTAAGTTTGTTTATTTGTTCTGGACACATGTTTCCCCAATGTGGCCCTTAACGTATCATGGGCTAATCAAAGAATAATCTACCAAATGTTTTAAGGGGTGTGCCTACAGGTGAATAGCGTAAACAGAAAAAGATATTTTGCCATCAAGTCATTTGTTTTGTATTAGAAATGAGGCATTATCTAATGATACATTTAGAAATAAGAGCAATCTCCTATGCCAAAAAGACAAAACCTAAACAATACCTAAATGTGTATTTTGGATGTATTTATTTTCACTGGTCTTAAAGAAGACATGTCAGGGAAGCAAAATAGCCCAAACTCTCAAAATTGACCACTACATGAAAAACAGTGTTTCTGCATGTATTGCTCTCTGACTGCAGGCAAATTGTTTGTGTGTGTTTGATGTGTGCGCAGTTTACCCTTGTGTTATGATTATATGAGGCTGACCTTGGGGAAGCGCTCCTTGTAGACATGGTTCATCATCATTATTTCATTGTCATAGCAGGATGGAGAGCGCCCGGGGCTGCAGAGAGACAAACACACAGAGCAGGACTGTAATACACAGCAGAGACTGAGAAAATCAAAGAGCAGAGAGTGTGTGGAGGCAGCAATTCTGTATTTCACTTGAATTAAGGAATCATTTACTGCTGCCCCTCATGTCCGTCCTGTCTGTACATTATGCTAATCCACAGATCAGAAATTCAGTACACTCAGTTGAGTTTCTCTAATGGATCCGGTGTCCTCCTGCACGTCACGCTACACATGGTGCAGACATCAGACAAGCATGAATATATTCAGAGGCACTTTTACACTCTCCTTAACACATATGCACAGGAAAAATGCAAAGCTAATTCAACATGTGGCAGAATAAAAGCCTGAAAACCTAATACTATTTAACATAGCAACTCATAGAGTGCTGAATTGGACATTGACAAAATAAATATATATTATGAATAGATGTCTTGTGGGCAAACACTGTTTAGCTTCACAGAAAGATGCGATTATGAATAGAAATAATGAGGCATATCAAGGTACACAATAGAGCTCCAAGATGTGTGATTATCTATCTAGGGCACCGACTGCTGAGGAGCTTAATATGAAGACTGAATACTGATAAGAAGTGATGTGGTGTATGTAGTTGGGGCATGTTGCATCCAGAGGGGAGGCTATAATAGGTGTGAGGGAGGGAGGGTACACTAGAGACTTATGAACATAGAGAAACATGCTGCACTCTGCAGAGGCTTAAAGAACTTGAGGGGATTTATCCTGATTCAACTACACTGGCAGTGGGAGAGCACAGACCTCCGACAAAGTCCTAGTTTCTTCGGACTTCAGTGTGTTTATTAGCCTAAAGTTGCGATGTGGAAAGAACATGTGCGCTACAAAGAGGATGTGTTGTTTTTCTTTCATCAGAAAATGTAAACAACATGTACGGTAGGTAGCTGTTTCAGAGTTGCTGTTCTGACTTGCGGGGGCGTTCACATGAATTATAACATGGTACTGTAGCAGCACAAGTGCCCTAATTTGCATTCTTATCGAAAGTTCAATTTAATTTGTATAATTACCAGAGCCAGTGATTAAGATCCAATTCAAACATTGAATGAGTTCTGCCTTGGCCTGGCTTACATAACCTTTATTTAGTGTAAACTTGAGACACAGAAGTTTCCAGAAAGCATTTAAATATTATTTGTAATGCTGTTGCCTGTTTGTATATGTATCTTAATCTTATTGTATTACTATATGTTGTATGTTCTTATGTTTCACTTGTAATGAGAACTCCATCTCAATGTGTATTCCTGATTATATCAGGTGTATATAAGTCAGTATCAGGGCTCTAACTCTTCCTGCTACTATAAGAAACCAGCACATCCTAACCAGTCTTCATTGCATTTGCTCTCAGGGATGATAAGGGATTGCATATAGAAAACCGTAATCAAAGTTGGCTAGACGCCCAGTGGCTTGTCTTCATTTGTTTAAACTGTCATTTGTCCAAGACCTGCCGTGCTCTCACCTGAGGCTTCGGGAGCGAGGGCGGGCGTGCGGCGAGCGCCGGCCCCCGTCATCGTCCGTGATGCTCTCCGTGCTGCCAAAGTGCTTCGACAGGAAGTGCAGCTCGTCCATGGTCGGCTGGAAGGGCAGCTGATGCAGCCGCTCCTGGGAGGAGCTGGAGGACTGGAGAGAAGGAGGAAAATGAGACACGGTTACATTAAGAACTGCTCTTTGTTAGCTCTCTTTCTGTTATAGCTGCAACATCAGTAGTGTAACAACAGATATCCAGTGATGGAAAGGAGAAAAACAAAAACAAGAAACGGCAGCAGCAGAAAATACAAGGTGTTCTTTGGTTTGAGTGGGTGGAAAAAAACTGAAACAAAGAAGTGCCGAACATAAAAGAAAAAGAAAGTAAGAGAGATGATCAGAAACAAGAAACATGTCCAGAAGGAGTTCGTGTAGGAGGACAAAACAGAATAATGTAGACTGAACACCAGAGCAAAAAGACTGCAGGGAATGAAGGAGTCACTCCACCTAAAAGTTTACTGCTGCCTTAAGTGTCTGCTGCCTCGGGGGGTTAATGGCAGCGCTGTTCGGTTTCAAAGAAAATACTTTTCTTAAGGGCGAGAGGGAAAAACCAGCCTGGATCAATAGGAGGCTTAATGAACACATCTCCCGATGGAACACCATGGCAGGCTTTGGCCACACAACGATTTCTGCTAGAAAAATCCATTAGAAAACTCCATCCAGGTCTAAGCCACTTTCAGGCTGCAGAAACGCACTTAAGTGATGTGAATGCAGCAAGTCCAGTCAACAGAATCAATGAAGAAGCTGCATGAAGATACAGGGAGTTCAGACACTGAGGGAAATGCCATTGAATGAGATGGTTGTCATAAAACTGTCTCGCTTCTGTCTCGCTCCTTCAAGTAGTCACTGGGTGCATCTTAAATAATGTAACTGCATCAAGATTTCCTTTGCATGGCTCTTTGTCTCCCTCGCAGAAGATGTTACAAGAAATGCAAGGAGAATATGTCAAGGGATAAGAATGGAGGAAATAGTGTTTTTAGAGAATTATCATCACTTGTCAGCTTCAACAGATCTGTTGTTTGTTGATACCTTTGGAGTTTGGATTAAATGCAAATAATACAATGATAAGGATGTACAATTTACATTTATAGTGCACTTCCTTTTTGCATATTTCCTCCCAAAAGGCACAACAGAAAATGAAAATCTCTGAAAGCAAACAAAACTGGTGGCCTCACTGCCCGGACACTAAATGCTCATTAGCCATTTTTACATCAGGTTGTTTCTTTTAAAGCTGTTTTAATAATTCATTTACATTCCATTTACGTTTGTAAATGCATCATTAAATAGTAAAGGTTAAGATGAGAGTGTCTCATAATTTGAAAAAAACCTCGCATAAGTGATTTTAATATATTGCATACAAATATAGCTTGACAGCGGATTTTCAGCTTCATGTGACTTTATGGAAATGACACCAATAGAAAATGTGTTGAAAAGGCAATGTTCTGTTCTTGCCTATATTATTATTCATGACACAGAAGAAAAGGGAAAAGAAGGGTGTTTCTGTTGGATGATGAAAGTTGAGACCTACAGTTCACACCGAACAGCAGGACAGACTCATTTGCTGATTTGAGATCAATCTGAACCTGGGAGTGAAACGAGAGTGGGGTTGTATTTGCTGTGGTACAAAACTGTAAGTGTTTGGATGAAGCAGCGCCATTGAGCTGCATCAACCAACAAATGTATATGTGTACAAACACTCGACAATTGTCTTCAACTTCACGGTTTCATCTTCCCACTGCCTCCATCTTCTATCTTCTCCACTTTCATCTTTCAGCATACACTTGGTTCATATGATCTACCTCTTCATATAGGAAACCCCTGCACACACTCATCTCCTCTTTTCATCTACTCTGTTCAGTATGCAAGGGTCCTGCTGTAACTAATCAAGCGAGTAATGGACCATGTAAGAACCAGCCGAGCCTTGAAACCTGACAGGACGGAGGGGGAAGAGGAGTGATGGAGGGTGAGCGGAGTATGGAGGGACTGAGAAACCAGTCTCAACCTCATCTACCGGTAAAAAGAGATCAATGAGTCGCCTGCAGCGTACTGCATGTCTGTCTATGTGTGCTGCTGTAAGTAGATTCATGAGAGGAAGTCAATGAAAGAAATGAACTGTGAAAAGATGCAGAGGAAGTGATTATGTTCAAGATGGCACAGGGGGTGGATTATGAGTCAACACCTTGCCTCCACCTGAGCGGCATACACATTAAGGCCCATTTCTCAAATGGACTATTTACCAAATGGGCCTTGGCAGGGTTCATTTCTCTGAGTAGTCTCTTATGCTTCACTCAGACAAAAGTGAACATTGTTGTTGTCCCTCTGTTTCCTTCAAAACACATTTCACTTCCTCCTACACTCTCTTTTATGTCTCTGTTGCCCCTCTTAACCATCCATCTTCGCTTCTCTGGGGATAAAGTGGTGCATGGAGAAATTGTTACTGGAACAGGGAAGAAAGAAAGATTGGTTACATTTCATTTCAATTATCCCTGCTCCACTTTTTTTCAGAAAGGCCAAGTCGTCAGCTGCAGATAAATCAGGTCGATCATATCTTAGCAACTGATGAGTTATTTTTAGTTCTGGTGTACATGCGATGCATGTTCTTCAGCGGTAAAATCCTTTAAAGTAATCGTCTGAGACTCCGAGCAGCAAGTACAAAGTCAAAGAACACAGGGGTGTGTGTGTTTGTGTATGAGTAGAATGTAGCTGCAAGTATGGCGTGTAATCCTTTCAGAGCAGAGCAAGACCAAAGTGGAACATGCAACTTTTAGAACATGAATTTACGAGCAGTAAAGCCTGCGCTGATTTAATGCATGAAAACATATGCAAATTATTTGAGGGAGATGCATATTCATGCGAAGGATGGCTCTTGAATTCATGACTTAGCCAATGCAGCTACAAGGAGAAGAACATCAAATCCCACACTTTAGAGTTGCTTTTCCCCTGTTTCTCCGGAAAAAATTGAAAAATAATGAAAGTACAGAGATCAATCCTTCTCAGTTTTCACTCTTCTTGCAATGGAGAAGGTAAACATGAAGGAATCTCTGTGAGGAAACAGCCCAACAGCCACCAGAAGCCTCCGATATTCTTCAGAGGACTTTTCAGGAGGCTGCTGCTACACTCTGGTGTCCTGTTAGAGATCCTCACGTTTTGTGTTACAAGGACACACTTAGTCAGCCCTATCACACATTGGAGAAAGCATAATGTGCAGTGGCTGCTGCAGAAATAATACACAATAGGAAGGAGTGTTTGTCTGCGGTGTACACAGATACGTCAGGAAACTCTTAACCATTGTGAAACCATTTTTTAAATGATTCAAGGTTCTTAGAGGACTAAAATGTCTGTGTCAAAAAATATATTTGATATTAATTTCCACTTTCAAATACCAGCTTGTTTACAGAATGTCACTGTTGTTTATATAGAAAAGAAACACGGACATTAAAATGCCTAAGATCCCCCTAATGCTATATAAAAAAGACTATTTGTGTAATAAAACAATGGTTTTGGGGCTGTAAATCAGTTTAGGATGCTTAATTAAATCAGAAGTGAGGTTAGTGCTCCCCTAATGATTATATTCCTTTGTTTATAAGAATGTGTGCTAATACTTATTATACATTTTATGAAGGTAATAAAGGATTAGGATAGTCTGTGGAGTTTTCTTCTTGCTCTTGAACTTACCGTTGAACTGGGTGTATTGGTGCCATATCCTGAGGAAGGCAGAGAAGCCAAAGACCATCTACGACCATCAGCCCTGAGGAAAAACAAATAAAAGTGGAAAAGAGAAGCATGTCAAATAAAAAATATATTTTTTTTTTTTCTAAATCTTTCCCCAGTTAGAACTCCAATATTGATTTTGGTCCCTTCAAACATCAAGGTTACACTGAAGCAATCCCACCACCTTCGCTTCCTTTTTATCCAATTACACTTTTGTTCCTCTTATTCCCCTCTTCCCTCAGGCGGCCTCCAGCCCTGTCAGACACTTCCTCTGAGTGAGTGATGAGGGACACACTTTTAGGGCAGAACTCTGACACCTGCCCCGCTCACCTGTTGACACATAGACGCTCTGTAGGAGCTCTGAGGACGAAGACGAGGCTGTGGCATGTTTGTGTGTGGGAGTGTTCCCTGTAGACTTTCACTGTGTTGTGTGTAAAAATAATCCTATCAACAATTTCCCTCGACCACTTCACACTGCTTTTGTACCGTTGCATGTGTGACTTATTGTGAGAATAAAGGAGGAATGCCAACCTGCGAGAAGAGGCGAAGGAAAAGTGGGCAGGTCCGCTCGGTGAGAAGTTGCGCGGGCTGTCCAATGGACTGCTTCCTGTTAAATACATAAGGACAAAACAGAGCAGAAAACATACCCTGTGGATTACTTGGAACCATAATATACCAAAAGTCATTTGAGGTTTTAGGTAACTCGAAGTCATTTCAATTTCCATTTGATCTTTGTATTCTCAGGGGCAAATCACAGAGAATTGCTGTGTGTGGCTTTTAGCGCCGTTCTTAGCAAATGTGACTGTTTTTTTTTTACTGTGGCTCATAGAAAGAGCATACCCAATGTATGCATTTGACCTCATTTAAGATAAAAGATGCTATTTGCTTGGCAGCGCATTTATGAGTATAATTTACCCGTTTGTTTCGGGTTGCTTTGAGAAGGGTTTTCTTGTACTTATTTGTGCTATGCAGGTTAAGGGGCAATAAACCTGCACAATCCTGAATTTGGCCACCATGAAACACTGAAAACACTGTTACGGTTATGAATGAAACTGTGACACCTACTGTAATAAGGTAGTTTATACTTAATCGTGTCCTACATTAATAAATTACAGTATTAAAATTAAATGAAAGAGCAACTTTTAAACAGTTAAAATCTTGTTCTGGCTGACCTCTAGTAGTGCATTGGTGCAGACACATTTTGTATTTACCACGACACCCCCTCAGTTACCTTTTTCATGTTTAGGTGTTTCAACATACAAAGAGCATTGAGTAACTATGACAACTTGCAGCTGTGAGTGTTAATACAGAGTCTTTGACGTTTGTTGCTTGTTTTTCAGCTTTGATGTTGTCTTGTTGCCCTTGTGGCACCGTTGGACCGTCATTAAGGCTCTCCAGGGTGTCACAGCACCCACTGTGAGGACCACTGCATTAGTCTTTGAAATGACACAATCTAAGTACACCTCTACATCACTGCAGTAAGGTGATAACATTTAAATAAATTGAGATTTATCAGATGACCTTCAAAAATAATAATTTGTTTGTATTTTTTTAAAGAGAAAAAAATACAAAGACTTAATGTGAAGTAAAAGATCAGTTTCATCATCATTTCACCAAGACTTCATGTCCCAATGCACCCAAAAGCTATTTTATGCTATAAGACTACACTGATGATTCAATTTATGGTAATTATGTTAGAGAATAAAAACATTTGAAACCTCAAAAGATCCTGCAATAGTAAAGAAGTGGGTTGTATATGGCACAGTCCCAAACTACAGCAAGATTCTTCCTAAAATGCCTCTTTTCAAGTCTGTTTTTTGGATTCATTTTATATTAATTATTTTTTAAATAGTTTATCGCACACTGTATCATGGATATAACTTTAATATACTGACCTATGTGTCCAGGCAGTGGAGAGTGCGGCCGTGGCAGAGTGGGCGACGTACTGGTCAGGATCAGGCTTTTCCGGTTACTGGTTCGGCAGCTAGAACACACAGCAGAACAGAGAGCACGTCAATATTTGTCTTCATTATTTCTCTAGTGACACCAGTCAGTTGAGAACACGCACACGCACACACACACACACACACACACACACACACACACACACACACACACACACACACACACACACACACACACACACACACACACACACACACACACACACACACACACACACACACACACACACACACACACACACACACACACACACACACACACACAACACACACTACACACACACACCACACACACACACACCACACACACACACACACACACACAGCACACACACACACACACACACACACACACACACACACACACACACACACACACACACACACACACACACAATACACTGCTTCTGTGTTTGAGTGCGTATGTGCTTCCTTTTCACCTTGAGTAAATGCAAAGCGTATATTACAGTATGTTTGTAAGTGTGTATGCTTCTTTATCTTGAGCACAATATGTCTCTTGTGTGTGTGTGCTTGTTGCAGGCCATAATACAATACTTTATTGACGTCCGCCCACCCACAGGGGAGAGCGACAGAGCAACAAAGATTTTTAATTTCCTCTAGGTCCAGCTCTCTGTCGGCTGCTGCCATGAAATATAATGGCAGGAGTGATGAGGCGAAGGGAGTGATGGAGAGACAGACGGAGAGGAAGAAAAGGAGAGGGGAGGGCAGGTATAGACCGTAATGAAGAACCCGAAATGATTGAACCATAAAGGATTCACACGCTGCTCCTGCTGCAAGCACTCTTCTTTGAACAATTTCACAATGGGAAACACAGCGATGCACAAGATTTATTGTCCTACACAAACACTTCGTAAAGTGGATCTTTCAGGCTTTTTTTTTCATGCACAGATCAGGTTTGCTCACGGGCCTTTCCGTGCTTGTCTGCGGGTTTCACTGTAGCGCCTGTCGGACTAGATTTGCACAATCAAATCTGACGAACAATACAAGTTTGCTCCATGTTGCATCAGCCTGCAATATATCTGTGCTGGGAAGGTCTGTAAATCCCAGGCACACAATGGAAAAACTGCACGGTCACACAACACACTTTAGTTATTTGATGTTTCTTCCTCGATCAATAATCTATATGCTCCCACATCCTGCCTCATCCCTCCCTCTTTTGATGTCTTCAGCACTCTGAGACATCAAACCCCTGGCAGGATTGTATCGGTGGCAGCGTGCCTCTGTGGGCGCCAGCTGAGGGAGAGCTTGTACTCAACCTTGCAGAGAACAGAGGAGGAGCATATTGAAATATTTAAGGGAAATGCATTAGCTTTGGAAGGACGACTGGAAGTGGCTTAACACCACCCTTCGCTACAGCTCTAAGAAGAGAAGAAGGGGGAGGGTGAGGGAAGAATTAAAGAGAGGAGACATGCTGTATATTCCTCTGATTTCCTTTCTGTCATACTTTTCTTTTTCTGCAATACTTCGTGCCTGCAATCGTCTTCCCTTTCAATTACTCCTTCACCTGTAGACTCTCACATCCACATTTTCACTGCTGCTCTTCCTCAATCAAACGCTGAATCACTTGAGCAAACGCACGTCAAGCTTCACTCCAGAACATATTCTTAGCTTTTGATTCATGATTCATCACATCAGCGCGACTCTGTCAGTGATTCACTTTTAGGTGGAGTCTCTAATGTTTCAAACCACATATTAAAGGGAAAGGGATTTCTTCCTACCTGCCTCGTCTCTTTGAGTTTTTCTAGGTACTTATAATTATGAATACTTTTAAAGTACCATGTTACTTCCAGTCTGAATAAATCTCTTCAGAATCTGTTCAGCTGTTTCGATTTCATTTTGTTATTTTCCGTCTGCTTTGTTCTAATTCTGCTTTGTCCGTCTTCCAAATTAACTCTCTGCATGATGAATAATTAAAACGTAGGAAGTCCAGGAAACTGATTCTCCACTCCTCCTGTTTTACTGTTATGGAGTCGTCTAAAGTATTAAAGACTTTAACGAAATGAAAAACCGCATGAGGGAAAAGCAATCTAATCTTCCCATAAAGCCAGATGTCTCTCGCAACCACTGTGCTTTATAACATTGTTATCTTAAATGAATGCTTTAAAAGGGCATCTTGCCTAAAGCATGTGTACTGTAAAAAAGGTTAAATAGAAGTACTGCTCTTTATTCTATACTGCAGTTTCCTGCCCACGTATTTATTACCAGAAAGGTCACATTAGAGTTCTGCTTCTTGTATTCCTGCAAAAGCGAGGAGGGGAACATCTGACAGAAGCAGCAGGAGGCTAAACAAACATCTGCAGATGATAATGTTCCATCTCTGTTGTAATCCCATGTTTCCTGTTATTCTGGGATGAGTTGAGTCTCTGCCTGCTTTGTTGACTTCCACTAAATGTAGTTATTTACCAAAATGACATTGGATAAACCCAAAATACAAGTCTTACATTACACAAACATAACATTTAGAAATGGGTTAACAATACTGAGGGTTTGGTGCTTAGCAGGTAGTGTTCAGTAGAAACTATGGTTGTTCCCTTCTTATATTCTCACGCACAATCACAACACTCAAAGATCATTTCCTATTAATGCTGTCTTGCAATGAAATAGGGGTGACATCAATAATTGCAGAATTATGGCAGTCAGTAAAAGGTTGTGTGTGTGTGTGTGTGTGTGTGTGTGTGTGTGTGTGTGTGTGTGTGTGTGTGTGTGTGTGTGTGTGTGTGTGTGTGTGTGTGTGTGAGAGAGAGACAGTTGGTATTGCCATCTTTGAATCATAAATCTAAAGCTGTGGTCAAACACAAACGATCCTGAATACATCATCCACCTCTCTCTTCTGTTCTCAGGCAGCTGGTGATGTTTGGATTTATTCAGTCGTCCACTTACACATGAATGAATTTTGAACAGAAAACTGAAGCTTCGCTGAAAATGAGACACTTCCTCTTTAATATATTCAAACCCATTCAGATTCAATTAGGTTCATCGTTAACAAATTCTTGATGCATAATGAATTGATCAAGAGGAAAATAGACCAAGATAATGTGAGTGGGAATGTACCACATTACCATGGCAACCCATTCGGAGTCACACTCAAAAAAGCAAACAGTGACATCTCCATTTTTTTTGTTCACCAGCGCTAACAGTGATAAACAGACAGCTTGTGATAACAAATGAAAAGATAAAGGTGAGCATCACACTGAATCTGCTCTGAGGCGAGTAAATCAAATGAAAATATGATCTGAAGTTAACAACAACACAGTGAGTCAGAGTCTGTGGATATGACGGAGCCAGAGACTGTTTGTATGTGACTGCCAGTCTTATAATCCATCATAATCCACTGTGTAATCCATCATGCAGGCCCAATCTGTGAGTGTGACAGAGGAGCAGTGGTGAGGCGTGTGGTGCTGTCAGTCAGTGTGATTCATCGGGGTCAGCGGTGCATGGCTCCATAGTGTCGGCCTCTGTTGACCCACACCACAGCTGAGGAGAGAGCCGCCAGTGGAAAACAACTTTTAATGTGTGAGAGAGAAACAAGGTGTGATAGTGGCAGTGTCTGAATCTGTCAGAAGGTGCAAGGAGCAAATCAATGTTTGTTTGGTTACAGCATGCAGGTGCTTTGTGTGTCCAGGTGTTCTCGAGAAACACCTCCAGAGTGATGAATGACAAACAGTGACAGGAGAGACAGTACGAACAGGGATGGTGGCTTTTTTTTAAAGCTACGGACCCAGAATCAGCACTTCTCTAACATGGCTGAAATAGAGGGGTATGAGGCATGGCTAGAATGGGTGATATGTTTGGTATTTTGAGTAAAACACTTCATAGATATGTTTTTTATATATCTGAGACATATAATATATGCCTAAAAATAGTATAATAGGAGACCTTTAATATCCACAAACATTTGGATGTGAAATCATGGTTCAACGTGTTTCCTCAGTGTTACTACAGCATGATTTACCTTTTTATGGACGAGTTTAGCAACTCAAAGGAGACCTTCAGGAAAATAGTGTGCTCAAATATTCAACAAGTGTACGCTGCTGTAAAGCACAAGATAAGATTCTCAGACTTTTGCAACCAAACCACAATCTTTACCTACTGTATCCTTAACGGCTGTCTGGTTATGATGTGGCAGGTGTTGTTTGAATAGACAAAGAGACGCAGATAATTATCAGCGACTCTGCAGTTCCCTTTAGCTAACAGGCCATCAGTGTTGAAGCGTTACTGTTGTCACTGTTCATCCCTTCTGATATACCCACTTTACCCTACCTGCTTAGCAATGAAGAGCACATACTGTAGATGCAGAGACTAGCGTGTGAATATAATGGAGCATTTAGCTGCTAAAAAGACAGATATTTCCCTCAGGAGATGACGGGAGACCAAAAAAGAGCTTTAAGAGAATAAACATCAAACTTAAAAACATCAGGGAGTCAGAAACTCTAAATGAATGCTGATCTTGCTCCAAATCTGATGATCATGTAAATAAGCTAATGTTTGCTAACACATAGCAAAGACAACTATAATAATATATAATAAAACCTTGTGATATAATATTGAAGAGAATGTTTTGTGATCTGTTGCATGCAGTAGCCAGAAACACTTGGAACTCCTTTAGGTAAAAGTTAATTACACACAGGAAGCAGAACATGAACCTGAGTTTCCTTCTCACTACGATACCAGCAATAATTATCACTCCTGCTAAACTAATTTGCCAAAGAAAATGAGGTGTATGCAAAGGGTATTTTATAGGTAAGGAGGGCTGCATGGCGACACACTGATGTTTAGAGGACAGACAAAGTCAAAGGTGACCGACAGAGAAATATAAAGTGCTCGAACAACAAACAGAGACACACAAAGGTGACAGCCAACAACCTCACTCTCTGCTGAATGAAACCCAGCGCTGTCATACAGTACAACCCCCGGTCAGCCTGCTGCAGAGGGGTCATAGGTTAAATCTGTGGTAATGACTCGTGCAGAAGCTTTGACGAGCAATTATGCCCCTGCAGGC